GCCCTGTGTAAAACATTTACTTGTATTTAGGTTTTTGACAATGTATGGTCTTATTCCTAAACTCCTATTTTGATGTAATTTCTTAATATAAAATTCCACAATCATTCCGCTTTTGCCAACATTTTGTGTCAATTCCACTTCTTAATTATTCAATTGATTAAACACATCACCATTGGCTGATTGGCATCATCCACATTAATGCACAAAAGATACTTTCCATAATCAGGATGTGAATTTTTAAGAGCCAAGTAAAAATGAAAAATATGATCATCATTAACAACAATTGAAGGCGGGCATTCTTCAAACCAAATAAGTAATGTTGATCCTTTCATTCGAAGCAAACACACCAATGCATGAATAAATCAAAGCAGTAAAATGAATATAAGATGTCTCATCTAGAACTATATATAAACTCACAAGTTCTTCTATCACAGAAAGTATGAGAATCATCCCAACTACCATCAACCTTTCGCTCTATCAGTATTTTGATTTGATTAAAAACAGATGAATGCAGGGGCTGGTCTGTAAACTCCAAAACTTTAAAAAGGACTTTAGGCAGTGGAACAAAGAGGTTTTTGGTAACATATTTGATGATGTTAGGTTCTGTGAAGAGGAGGTATGGGTAGCTAAAGCTGAAGTGGAATTTCAAAATTCTCATACTGAAGCAAACAGAGAGAGCTGGCATCATAAAAAGGCTTTGTTGCTGACTAAGGATGTTTTCTTTTGGACTGAAATTTGCTGATCTGGTCTGGTCTGGTCTGATCTGGTCTGGTCTAGTTTGTTTAAGTCTGGTCTGGTCTGGTCTCTGTGTATTTTATAACTGTCCAAGTCTGGTCTGGTCTGTTTAAGTCTGGTCTGGTCTGGTCTGTTTAACTCTGGTCTGGTCTGATCTGGTCTGGTCTGGGACTGAAAACAGTCCAAAAGAAAACATCCTAAATACAGGCTTGAGAGAAAATTTTGGAAGCAAAAAGTTAATATTAGATGGTTGAAGGAGGGGGACTTCAATAGTCATTATTTTCATTCTCTTGTTAAAATTAGAAGAAAAAATAGATGATACATATCGTACTTGACTCTCAGGGTAGGGCAGACATCGGAAGGGCTGCTGTTGAGTTCTTTTCTGATCTTTATGTTGTTGATCCTGTTGTTACTTCCAATGACATTCTCAGCCATATTCCTGCAATAAATACAGAAGAAGATAATTCCTATCTCACTGCATTGCCCACTAAAGAGGAGGTAAAAGAAGTTTTGACACTTTATGTTGCATTAAAGAGGGTTGATCACAGAAATTAATGAGGCTTAATGATGGCTATTGTAACGGATTTGTGTTTATTATGGTAGTTAGTAACGATATTAAGGCAGGAGGTTACTTATTTTGAGCTAGCTAGCATTAATAACGAGTTGTGAAATTGCCGGGTCGGAACTGTCAAGTCAAACCGCCAATAACGGACAACTGGAGTTGATGAAGCGTCCAAGAATCTCATTTTAAATATTGTAACGTTTTCTGTACATTATTAGGCTATTTAATGTGATTGATGAAGATATTAATTGTAATTGACCGACCTTTATGACAGATTTGAAATTGTTATAAAGTACGGCCAACTCGTCAGTAACGTACAAAGTCATCAAAAGAACATTAATTACCCTTCTTATAAATAGGATATCCCTCATTGTAATGAGCAGCGGCTCACATTCGAATAATACACAAGTTTTCACTCTTATTCACTCTCTTGTCATCTTCTTCTTTACTCTTGTTCGAAGCTCATTCTTCATATACATTCCTTTTTAATTAGTTTTAGCTTATCAATATTTTGCTTAAACATAATAAAAGTATTTGAATTAAAAAAAAAAAGCAAAAATATTAAGATATCAACTAGCCCTCCAAAGTAGTTCAAACTCTTTAGTTATAAACCCCTTCCCACAAACACACCTTAGAAAATACTCAAAATAGGATATTAATGAGAAATACTATATTCCCAAAAGGTTTGTTTTGAACATGGAAAACACTGGGGGGAGACAATAGGAGCGAAGCAAAGCACACAAGAAATTTGGAAGGAAAAATAATGTGGGAAAATAAAAGGCATGCTAAATCTTACTGTAATAAATTTATAAATTTATTTTAGATATTTGATAATTATGCACACTATGTCCAAGTTAAAATCAAGCATTACATAACTACTTCACTTAGCATATGTGATATTTTAGTACATATTCGCAAGGTATTAACTAAGAAAAGAATCAGAACCATACTCTTCATTGACTTACAGCTCATGGCTTTTATACATGAGGTCACTATAAGGGAATACCGAATAAAATGGATCGGTAGTTTTAAAGATGGGAACAAAATCAAAGAGCCTTAAATAAATATAATCCATACATAAATAAAACACTAGTGCTCAAAATAATAATTTCCCAGAATAATGCTCAATACCCCTCCTCAAGTTGGCGCATGAGGATTCAAAATGCCCAACTTGCGTAGGAGTGTCTGGAATTGAGTCTTGCCAAGAGCTTTGGTGAAGATATCGGCAAGCTGCATTGTTGTTGGCACGTAATTCGGTGCAATGAGTTTAGCTTGAATGGCATCACGAACGAAGTGGCAATCAACTTCAATGTGTTTAGTGCGTTCGTGAAACACGGGATTATTAGCAATATGAAGTGCTGATTGACTATCACAGTAGAGAGGGATAGCTTGAGGATGTTGAACACCCAAACTGAAAAGGAGAGCCTTCAGCCATTTTAATTCACAAGTAGCAGCTGCCATGGAGCGATACTCAGCTTCGGCAGAAGAACGAGCAACTGTAGATTGTTTCTTGGCTTTCCAAGAAATGGGAGAGTGGCCCAGAAACACTAACCAACCAGATAGAGATCGGCGAGTAAGAGGACAAGCGGCCCAATCTGAATCACACCAACCAGTAAGTGTGAGATCACTATCAGCACGTAAAAGAATACCCTGTCCAGGAGAGCCTTTGAGATATCGAACCACTCGCAAAGTTGTAGACCAATGCTCATTGAGAGGATTTTGCATGAATTGTGATAGGATATGCACAGAATAGGTAATATCTGGGCGAGTGACCGCCAAGTAAATAAGGCGACCAACAAGGCGACGATATGATTCAGGGTCAGACAACGGTGTTCCAGTAGCATTGCTGAGGCCATGATTTTGCTCTATCGGAGAAGAGGCCGGTTTGGCACCCAAGAGACCAGTTTCAGTGATAATATCCAGAGCATATTTGCGTTGAGTAAGAAATATCCCGGAGGGGCTGCGAGCAACCTCAATGCCCAGAAAATATTTAAGAATCCCCAAATCCTTCATGTGAAAACATGTATTAAGATAGGATTTGAAACTGGAAATGGCAGCACTATCATTTCCAGCAATTAGAAGGTCGTCAACATAAACCAGAACATTAAGCTGAGTATGTCCACGAGTAAGTGTAAATAGGGAATAATCAACATAAGACGGGAGAAATCCATAACTCTTGAGAGCCGTGACCAATTTAGCAAACCAACATCTTGGGGCTTGCTTAAGGCCATATAAAGATTTATGAAGACGACAAACCAAAGTAGAGTCATGAGTACGATAGCCAGGAGGAATAGTCATGTATATACCTCTTCATTTAGATCACCGTGTAAGAATGCATTATGAACATCCATCTGGTGGAGCTCCCAATTTTTACAAGCAGCAATAGCAAGAAATGCACGCACGGTTACCATTTTAGCAACTGGGGCAAATGTCTCGGTGTAATCCAGACCGGCAACCTGTCGATTGCCAAAAATAACGAGACGTGCTTTGAGACGTTCAATGCTCCCATCAGATTTATGTTTTACTTTATAGACCCATCGACACCCTAGTGCTCGTTTTCCCGAAGGTAATGGAACTAGACTCCAAGTGAAATTTTTTTCAAGAGCTTGAATTTCAGCCCTCATGGCATGACGCCATCCCTCATCTTTAACAGCCTCTTGGAAGGACCGGGGCTCCGTAATAGAATGGAGAGCTGCCAAGTAAGCCCGATGTTTCGGAGAAAAAACATCACAAGTAATATAATGTGTAATAGGAAACGACGTACCTGAAGAAGGTGACGGAACCGAATGAACGGGAACTGGACTGTTTTTAACAATGGTGTGCGTAACATAGTCCCGAAGACGTACAGAAGGAGTCCGGTGCCTTTGTCCTCGACCCAAGATGAGTGGTTGTTCGGTTTGATTCTCCCAGGCAGTGGTGTCCTCAGGAGAAAAATTATCATTAGTGGGGTTGATAGAAGAGTGGTCCAAAGTACCAGTAGACTCTTGTGAAGGTGGGTCCACCAAAGCATTATCATTATGTGGGATAGAGGTTTCGGCTGATGAATATCCACTGTAATCATAGAGCAGTAGGTCTTGGGATGGAGGAGTGTCATCCGTAGGTGCAGGAGCCGCGGCATAAGGAAAAATGGTTTCAAAAAATTTTACATCACGAGACACAAAATATTCCTTAGTCTCGAGATCAAAAACAGTCCATCCTTTCTTCCCAAAAGTATAGCCCACAAATACACATTTTCGGCTTCTGCTAAAAAATTTATCGCCTTTGGACTTCATATTATAGGCGTAACACAAGCATCCAAAAACCCGCATAGAAGTATAACTTGGCGGCACTCCAAATAAAATTTCATAAGGGGTCTTGTAATTATGAATCGCAGAGGGAGTGCGATTGATGAGGTAAGAAGCAGTCAAAACACATTCACCCCAAAAAGAAATAGGTAAATGCCCCTAAAATCGCAAGGCACGAGCAACATTCAAAATGTGCCGATGTTTGCGTTCAACACGTCCATTTTGTTGTGGAGTGCCAACACAAGAAGTCTGAAAGATAATACCACTAATGCGAAAAAAATCTTTTAAACAATTAAATTCGGTCCCGTTGTCACTTCGCACAGTAATAATCCTTTTAGAAAATTGACGGTCCACCATAGCAACAAATGGGAGAAACATTTTAAAAACTTCCTTTTTATCAAGAAGTAAATATACCCACACAGCACGAGAATAGTCATCCACAATGGTTAAAAAATGTCGGGCACCACAGGAAGAAGGAGTGTTATAAGGACCCCATAAATCACAATGAACCAATTCAAATGGTTCATGAGTTTTATTCAAACTAGTGGGAAAAGAGTCTCTAGTTTGCTTAGCTCTAAAACAAACATCACAAGGAAGACCTCTGGTATGCTTCAAACCACTTACAGGAGCCAATTTTTCAATAACTTGAGATGACGGATGTCCCAACCTTTGATGCCATAATTCAACCATTGAACTGTTGGAGTCTTTGATTGCTAAAATATGAGCTGTGGGTTCCTCTCGCAGATAATACAGTCCATTCCTCCGTTCACCCGTTCCAATCAACCTCTTCGAGAGACGATCCTGTATAACACATAAATTACATGTGAATTGAATAAAACATTTTAATTGATCACTCAATTGAGATACCGAGATTAGATTACAATGCAACTCCGGAACAAAGAGCACATTATTCAAATACAAATCATCGGTCAATATTACACGTCCCTCTTGTGTAGCCAAAACATTTTGTCCATCCGGTAAACCCACAGAACACGGTTCAATAGATTTAATATGGCATAATAAGGACAAATTTCCACACACATGATTGGTAGCGCCTGTATCTATAATCCATGCTTTAGTATTAAACTTACCGGCCATGTGATCATTAGGGGAGGGTGAATTTCCGAAAATGGAAAGCAAAGTTTGCCATTGCTCTGGAGTGAAACCCGGCAGTGGAGTTGATATGCCGTTGCCGTCCTCACGGTTACTGGTTATTTTGTTCACGTTCTCAGCAGTAGGAGCAGCATGAGGTCCTAGAAAGTATGGCAAAGTTTGGTCAATTTTTGCCGGAGGATCCCCTGCAGTAGACTCTTTGCTATGTGTCATCATTCATGCGAATTAAATTCGTAAACCTGGCTCTGATACCATGATATTTTAGTACATATTCGCAAGGTATTAACTAAGAAAAGAATCAGAACCATACTCTTCATTGACTTACAGCTCATGGCTTTTATACATAAGGTCACTATAAGGGAATACCGAATAAAATGGATCGGTAGTTCTAAAGATGGGAACAAAATCAAAAAGCCTTAAATAAATATAATCCATACATAAATAAAACACTAGTGCTCAAAATAATAATTTCCCAGAATAATGCTCAATAATATGTGTTCCTTTAGCTAGCAGTTTACAATGTCCAAACACACCAGAATGGTGGCAGGAATAAAAACACTTCCATCTACCATGAGTTTCATTCCTAGCATGGTTTGATCTAAATCTTACGGAGTAGTATATTATTATCATCGATCATATCATTCCAGATGAGTCTTAACTCTTAATGAAGGTGGTCCTTACCTGGTGCTGTACCAGAGATAATCACTGGTATCCCTGGTGACATTTAATTGCTCCAACAGACCACTAACAGTAAGCTTTGAATCACTATCTTCATTAAATATGTCTTCAGTAAATGTTGCCCAGGAGAGCGTTGGAATGTTTGTGGGCAACATCTGCACCTCAGATTTCTTCACTTCCACCTATGTTGGACCAAGAAGTATATAAACAAGAAGAAAGAAAATGTGTTTTTTAAAACAAAATCTTAAAAAGTTATAGAAAAACACATGAGGATTCACTTATGCTATAAGTGTTTCTTACAGATATTTTCCCTTCTTGTAAAAAGAACTTATTCTTTTACTAACATTCCAAACGCACACTAAGACTTGTGGAAATATATATTGTTTCTTAACTAACCGTGGCAGTGTTAAATACAGCATTCTTGCAATCTGGAAGAATCGAGGTTGACCAAGGTGGAAGTGCATATTGCTTCTTATTGAATGTCACAGTGGCTGATGAATTCAGATGGAAATTTGAGAGAAAAGCAGCACACTCTCCAGACGTGGAAAATACATGTGCCTGTAAATGGGAGACATTGAAAGGCTTGTTTTTGTCTAGATGATAAAATGGGAACTTTGGAGTGTCCAAGAATATATTAATACCTCTCATTCTTATAAGGCAGGACGCTTTGTATAAGACTGTTTTGTCTATGAAGTATTTGTTCTGCTTTTTTCAATTTTGCCCCAAATAAATATAGCAGTCGGGTCAATTGATTACAGAAATTATTTACTAACGAGATAATAAATGATGATAAATTGACATCTATATCTATCTATCTATAGATAATACATTTGAAAATTACAATTAGGGAAAGTATTGCCACATGTCAATTCCACAATTATTGTTTTAAAATCATTTTTTAAATTAAAGGAAAGTTATGCACGAGTATGATACGGTATGTCATATGAGAATTGTAGTAAAGTTATGTACAACTCCTATTATTTAGGACTCCATAAATAAAAACCTCATGTTTTTTTAAACTGTTATAACTTTTTCATTTGTACTCTAACTGTAATAAAAATTATTTCAAAATTTATAACTTTTTATTATCTTTCAAATGACACGAATATTGAGTATACAAAAATAAAAGATAATTTAACACTTCAAAAACATCTATTTTCTAAAAAATTATATAACTTTTTTCAAATTAAAGGAAAGCTATACGAGTATGATACGGTATTATCTATAAATAATACACCTCATGTTACATTTTTTAGGTAGATTACACCTCATGTTACGTTTTTTTAGACAACGTCCTAAAGTTGGGTAATTTAAAAACTTAAATCTCAGTTTTATTTTAAAGTGTTATAACTTTTTCATTTGTACTATGATGGTTACAAAAATATATATCGTATTTTATAATTTTTTATTATCTTTCATATGAGACCAATATTAAATATATAAAAATAAAAAAATAATTTAACAGTTTTTATATATCTATTTTGAAAAATAATTTAACACTTTAAGAAATATATCTATTTTTTAAAAATAAAAATAATTTAGCACTTTGAAAATTATTTTGTATTTTTATATATTCAATATTGATGTCATATGAAAGATTGTAAAAGTTATGAAATTGATATATTTAACCACTGTAGTACAAGTAAAAAAGTTATAGGACACATATATAATATATATCTAAATCTAAATCTATATCTATATCTATATATCATACATTTCAAAGATACAATTATAAAAAGTTTTATCATGTGCCATGCTTTAAGCAACTCCCTCATCATATATGTTCTAAAATTTAGATATAATAATTTAAAGCCCCTAAAAACTAGATAAGATTATTACTTCGTACGATATTACTACAAAGGCTCTCTTTTTTACTGTAAAAGGGCATTACAATTTAGAACTCCTTATTCGTAGATTATTACAATTAGAATTCCTAATTCTCAAAAACTTATTCGTAGATTACAATTCGGATTCCGAAAAATTAAGAATCCATGTTTGATTACAATTAAACAAAATTAGAATTTCTTAAAAGTCACAACTAATGTAAAGCTTTCTAAAATGTCAACAACTACTTATTATTTATAAATAAAGAAAAATTTATTAATTAAATAAAGAAAAAAGTATGAAAATAGCTAAGGCCTGTTTGTTGGAGCGAATTGGATGATCGGACCGAGGGCTGCCCCCTCTTCCCCTCACTCTCCTTTCCCTAATATGAACCTTGAGTCATCAAAGCCTTTCTGACTCGGCCTGGCCCTACGCGAAAGGTGAAACTCTCGTCGTAGTTTGGCGACCTATCTTAAGTAGCAGATTTTGTATGTGTTCCTACGAAAATTCATTTATCCATTGACAATAACTTCAACTAATAGAAAAATTTGACTAAAAAGTTTGATAAGTCAAAAATTAGAATCATCAAACGGGCTCAATTGCAATTAGGAAAGCTTCACTAAAACTTTCCAATTGCACTCAAAGTGCACTTTCTATAAAACCATGTTCTTATATAAGTGCAATGGTAAAAAAATTTCACATTTGAACAGCGTAATAAAGTAAGAATAGTATAATGGTAAAATGGCGACAGCCGGACAGAGCCCTCTATATAAGGGCTGATTTGCACTTTTCAAGTTAGTTCGAGAGTCTATTTGATTCTTTAGCCTTAAAAGTAAAACACCTACAACATCGCAGTTATCATCAAGGAGCTCCATCATATTATATAGGGATAAGGGTCAGATAGGGCCTCGAACTTGAAAAAAAATGTCAAATAAGGCCATATTTAGGATGCTTTGTTCGGCCGATGCCATTTGGGGTAGTTCCCGGTGGAATTTTTTGATGATTTTTTTTGAGAATCTTATTCATTAAGTCTAGTTTACTCATATCAAATTTGAACTAACAATTCAATCGGGAAGGCATTCAAATGAATTCATGAAGATAACTGCGCTTTTAACGGTACAGTTATCTTCAAGAATTCATTTGAATGCCTTCCCGATTAAAGTTTTAGTTCAAATTTGATATGAGTAAACTAGACTTAATGAATAAGATTCTCAAAAAATTTCATCAAAAAATTCTAGCGGGAACCACCCCAAATGGCGTCGGCCGGACAGAGCATCCTAAATATGGCCTTATTTGACATTTTTTTTCGAGTTCGAGACCCTATCTGACCCTTATCTCTATTATATAATCATCACAGTTATTTCGTAAAACACAGTCATATTAACATATTTAATTATTGTGTAAATAATCGTGCCGTAAGTAATTGGGACATAAGTAGTATGTAATTAATAAAACTTTTCGAGAGCTGAAATTCTCGGCCAAAATATATCAAAATTATATTAATATATACACAAATAAAAAATAACTTTTACTTTCATAAATGAGATAAAAATCGATTCCAATTATAAATATCCTTAATTAGAAAGGTGAACATAATATTGAGATATCATTCAGGATAATGTGTATTTACCCATTTTTAACACATGCAGTCTTGCTGTTTTAATTCTTTCACTTCTAGAAATGTGTATTTTAATATTGTAAAAAAAATCTTTCACTTTCATTTAATGATGTTTCACCTTTTTTCCCATTTTAGGAATTTATCCTTTGAAAAGTGAGAGATAATATTTTGAGCATTCTTTGTAATGCATATATGGTGTGATATTATGATTAATAAAAAGCTACTATAAATTAACTTAAGTTACACATATTCAAATATAAACCACGTACTGTTTTGAAAATCTTATTTTTAATGACGATAAAAAAATCTTACTTTAAATATTTTTTTTCAATTTAAAAATGTATGAATATCAATAATTTTATTTTGAAAGTATTTTCTTTAGATATTTGGTAAAAAAGATGCATATATATATATATATATATATATATATATATATATATATATATATGGATCAAAATATGTCATTATATTCTATATTTCTAATTAAGATAATTGAGTACATATGTATAATGTCTATATAATTGATATGTTACTCACATGCTAACTTGCTTTTTTTTGTTATAGACTTATACGGAGTATATAGTATGATCCATACGATAATTTATGAAAATTTGAGTTTCAAGTATAGTGATATTATTAAAGTTTTATGGGTGCAATTTAAATATCAAAAAATCAATACCACAGGTTATGCAATTGTATTTTAGCTCAATAATCTTATTAAGAAACATTAACTGCACTCATTGCAACATTAACTTATAGAGTTAAATGAACTCATTGCATAAATTCATATTCATATTCATGACTTAAAAAATAGTTTTTAAAAGTATTCATGAGAAACTTTTTTATGTCACCAAAAAAAAAATGAGATGATGACACATGATTTGGTACTAACATTGAAATTGGTTGGATCGGTTCATTCTGCTTAAATTTATGATGTTCTAGCTGAAGTGGCTGAATTGGCTGATTCTACTGATTTATGACAAAAAAATAATTTTATTATTATTTATAAATAAAGAAAAAATACTTCATATGAAAATAGTTGAAACGATCCTTTACAATAACTTCAACTAATACAACCAGAAAAGTAATTTTAACCTTACTTTGATGAAAAAGTTAACTAATAAGTTTGATAAGTCAAAAAACAGAGTCATCAAACGAGCTCAATTGCAATTGGGAAGGCTTCTCCGATCCAAAACTTTCCAATTGCACTCAAAGTGCACTTTCTAAAAAAAAACATGTTCTTAAAAATGTGCAACAATCAATTTTTCACATTTGAAGTGCATAATAAAGTAAGAGTAGTATAAGGTTAACTTTATAGATAGTATTAAAAATGTATAAAAAATGTACCAAACTTTGAGGGATTGCTAAGTATAGTATTTGGGGACTAAGGTAGTACATAATTTTAACTCTAAGTGCACATTCTCAAACTTTTTGAGTGTCAAGAAACTTAAAAGAATTCTCGAAACAATTATATAAATTAGAATCTATGAACCACCAAACATCATTTTTAGAGATATAACAACAACATTTAAGTCTTAGACCCAAAAGATATTGGGGTTGGCTAACATGAATCAATACATGATATCACCACCAAAAGGAAAAGAAAGAACATAAAGATAAAAAGATAAGCTATTACAAAAAGATAATATAAAAAGAGATGAATATACCTAAAAGTGATAAAATAAAAAGGATAAAAATAATGTTTATATATATAAGGATAAAAGAATAAAAACAAGAAGAAGAAAAAGATGAGGGGAAATAATAATACGAGATCACTACTCCACGCGAATACCCGCCTTCCACTTTGCTCTCTCTAAAGATATACCCTCATCCAACCCAAGAAGTAGCATATCACTTCGGACTCCCCTAACCCACGCCTGTTTGGGTCTTCCTCTCCATCTCTTCCCTGCCTCTTCTCCACTCATCTCAACACGCCTGACAGATGCATCACTCGGTCTTCTATGCACATGCCCAAACATCATTTTTGGAGATATAAAAATTAAATGAAAATATTCTTTGTTAAAAATACTAATATAAAAGTACAAAATTTATATCTTCTAGAATATTATTCTAATTAAAATTATGTTCCAAAATTTAAGATATGACTATGTATTTTGAGACAGATGTAGTTCCTAATTTTAACTCAAAAATCATGTCCTAAAAAAAATACGTCATTCGTTCTTAAATAAGTGCAATGGCCAATTTCTCACATTTGACGTGCGCAATAAATTAATGGTAGTTTAAGAGTAACTTGATATTAAAAGCTTACCAAATATAGATTTGTGAAGTTTATTTTGGACTTGCCCAAAAGGAAAGTGTACGTGAAGTTTATTTGGGACCAGAGGTCGTATTATTTTTTTTAAAAAAAATTATTACTACGTAATACATTAATAAATAAAGCATTATCAAAGTAAAAATGTGTTAATAGTGTAAAATTCAACATTTTCCACTAATTTAAAAATGGAGAAAGTATACAAAACTTCTAAAAAACAAAATTGATGTAAACTCAAAGGTGTACCTCCCAAACTATGTCATATCAATTAGTGAAATCAAATTCAGATCAAAACAATGATGTGGATATATCCATCTCAAAGGCTATGCTCCAATTCATAGTATTATATATGCAAAACACAAGTTCTCAACTCTATTTATTAGAAATTGTATATTCATATCCACTAAAAATATGATTACAATATGAACATAAATAAATGCATTCGATGTTCAAAATTATTTTGATATATAGATTATACTCTACATATTGTAAGCATACGAACTATAGGTCTAAGCAGAAATTGTAGTTTTGAGAGACTCTTTGTTCGTTTGTTACAATTGTACGACCAATATGTGGTATGAATAGCGAGTTAACAAAGTTTCAAAATCAAATAATATTGAATTCCCACTACCAATATAAAAAACGTTTCGAGATCAAATGCCTCAAGAGTAACTCTTCATATCTTCATACCAATGAGTGGTATGAAGAGCGAGTGAACAAAGTTTCAAGATCAAACAATTCAATATTGAATTCTCATTGTGTTGCATGAAAGGTAAAGTTCAACTTCCGTTTTTACAAAGGCCTCAAGAGTTACTGGTTATACTAATGAACGAGAATAAACCTAGAAGCTCTCATTGCAAAGGTATATAATACCATGTTCTCATTCAAAATTCACACGTACTTTTGTAATACTGCATCTCCTGATTTCAATGATTCATGTTACTACACATGAGTTCATATGGTGTTTCATAATCAACGTATTAAATACCTACATAATCATCTTTAGGGACATACACTACCGAGGATATGTTTATATAATTAGTACAAAAATAAGACATTCTCAACAAATAAAAATATGTATTATCAATATTATAATCGACTAAATACACGATTTTCCATTTGTTATAATAACCCATAAACACATGCTAAAACTAAAACACAAAATCATTTTATCCCGTGCACGGCACGGGTAACGATACTAGTAATATAATAAAGCAAACCCTTAAAGAACCCTTTAGAGGAATTGTTGACATGTGGCAACATCCTTTGTATAAAAAAGTGACACGTGGCAAAACAATAAATTAAAATAAAAGCTATTCAACTTTCAAAACTCTACTTTTAAATATTCCAATATTATAGATATGTATTTATATTAATATATGCGTATATATTTGTTATAATTTTCAATATAAAATCAGGTAAAATTTTGCACTCGCCGGTATTACAAAATTCAAATACTCAAAAATAAATAATAATTAACAATTTTTAGCCACTCTTAAAATAAAAATATTACTTCTATTTCTTTTCTCATAAACTCTTGCAGGTTCTCCCTCATTTGGAATTTTTATAAATTGGTTCTTATTTGTTTCCAAAATATGATAATTAATACATCCTCCATCTCATTCATTTTCTCTGATAGTTTGTGTTTCTTTCATTCACTAAGTTTGTGTAGCTCCAAATATTATAATGCATATGTAGTTCTAAATCATTCTTACACTATTGTCCCTCCTTTTCATTTCAACATTAGCTAGATAAACTTTTTTTTAATAGCTGCACATGTCTTGATCTTAATGAGACAAATGTGATATTACTTATCTATTTATTAATTCACAAGGTCTACTAAATCAATGTCTAAAGGTAAATTCATTTTTTGTCACATATTTATTTATACTTCACAATTTATGTTCATGTTGTTAAATGGGTTAGCACTCCCCAATTTCATCGCTTGGATCGTCTAACTGCCTAATGGTCTCAAACGACGCACATTATTTTTAATGGGGGTGCACAATACACTTATAGTTAAAATAATGCAGACTTTAAATGGACAAGAAAGGTTGAATTTTTACAAAAATGTCAAGACATTTTTTATTTATGATAGCACATATTTCTATTTCAAATCATGCACGAATGGCACGATTTATAAATCTAACATTCGAGTTCATTCTAATTCCTTTTTTACACATTAAGGTGTCTTCTCATTTGAACTCAACCTTATATATATAATTTACAATTTTCAAATCTAATGTTCCGGTACATGTATAGAAATAATGCTAGAGTAAATTATTTGAATAATTAGTGTATATAGAAATAATAGTTCAACAAGGGTTGTAAATTAATAAGTATATTTGAAAATTATTTTGGTAGAATAACATCAATATTGAAGATAATGAAAATAAAAAATAGATGTTTATATTTTGATTTACTCGCAACCTGAATGGGTCAACTCACTTAAGCTGCAACCCGTGCAAGTTGCACCACGAAACTGGTGAGTTCATTGGATTGAAGAATGACAACTCTAACCCACCATGAAATGAGATGAAATGGGCTAACCCTATGGACTTCGACTCATTTTGACAGCTCTATCCATACTCGATTCAAATGAGCCTTACAAGTAACAAAATTGGGTCGGGGTAAATCTAGCATATACTTTCTCTTGTATTACCAAGGAATAGAAATTACCTCTTGGTAGCTTCCTAATTGTGTGATAGTTGGAACAGCATTGACTAAAGCTTTCTCACTTAACTTAATAGCATTGTGAAAGTTCTTCAAATGGTCATACTTGGGCTGTCTAATTATACCTATTCCATATATGGGAAAAAACATCAGTTAAAAATCAAAACAAGTGTTTCAAGAGATGGATTAGGACTTTATACTCTTACCATATTCATCAATAGGAGCATCATCATAATCATAGCTAGTAGTAAGAAAGGGACCTCCTGCTGTTCTTCCAAAATTGTTTCCTCCATGATACCTTCAAAAGAAAAGAAAATGAAACAAGACCAGTCTGGCATGTCAGTAATAAATTCACAAAGGAGCTTCCAAACTCTTCAGAAGCATAACTTTAAGGAAAAAATTACTTGGTTACAGAAGTAATCTGCGGCGACCTCCGGCCTCTTCATCGTTTTCCGGCGTCAAGACCAGTCTGGCAAAAGCTCCGGCGTTCGTTCCCCCCTTCTCCGGCGATGCGTGGTACAGAGAGATGGTTCCGACTTTCTTTATCATCCGTTCTCTCTCTCTCTCTGAAGAGAAGGTTTGGCTTTCTTCTCTTTTGGTTTTTGCAGTGACGAAGGAATAAATATGGGTGTGTACGCAGGTATGACGGTCGAAGGCAGAGTAGGTATTTATAGAAGAGAGGATGAAGATAATGGCATTTCCAAGCCAGAAAATATCCCACACTGAAACTAAACCACGTTTGAACGTTTTTATAATCAACTTGGAAGAGCATTGATTACCAATTGAGTGTCTTCTGTCTTTAATAAGGAAGTAGATATATCCACTTGGTCGTTTCTCGCATATAGAGTCTCTTATAATTTAATATTCTAAGAGAATTTAAATACGGGTGACGATCAAGTGGACCTATTTACTTCTATATTATTTATAATTTTTTTAAATAATAATTTTTGTAGTTATTGATCTAAGAGAATTTAAAGATTGGTGCAAAACCTCAAATCTCATCACACTCAATTCTCCAAGCGGTCTGTCTTCCCTTGAGCGGGTATTAGATGCTTCACCTCTCAAACCTACCTGTATAAATCATTATAAAGACGAAGTTAAACGGACTCCCAAAGCAAAGCAAAGAAGAATGCTTATATGATTGTCACCTGATAAGACCATTTCTGCCAAGATAAGTCCCTAGGTCCATTGGGTAGTCCACGCAATACGACGGGTCCAATGATTCCTGTGTGCCGTCTATCGTAATAGGCACCATCATTCTTCAAAGACAAATATAAAGAAAAAAAGAAATTAAACATAAATATTTCAAAGATGTAATGGATGAGACCATGTGGCAGAATCTGCATTTCATGCGCAAGGAGCTAACCGGCAATCCAATTGCTACACTGAGAGAAATTTTGTTCACTCCAGATTGCAATGCGACATTCAGTGTATATTTGAACTCTGGGTGATCTTTAGTTCCATAAGCTGACCCTGCTATTCAATCAAGACAATGTGTGTGGAGCTTCTAATTGTTTTACACTAAGGTTACGTTTGGATCCTGAAAAATGCTAGGGGGAGATTGTTAAGAAAACTCATTTTCTTCTGTTCAGTTTGGTGATTTACCACCAAAAATGAAAAGTATTACTACGTCTTACTTTTTATATTTTTTCTTAGTTGTTCTTGCATCTTTTAGTCTTTATATAATGGGAATAGGTAAATACAATGAGTTCAAACAAATATATAAAAAATATTAAGCTTAAGCACATGATTTAGTTTCCCTTAGAGTTTTCTTTTCTTCCAAATTTCCCCAATTTTTTCTTGTTCCCTATCCCTAGCAACTTCCTAGGCCCAAAGAGACCCAAAAATAAGAATTTATTAGGATTTCACAATGAAAGAATGCAATTGGACCTGAGAATCGCCCCTTGACGAAGACATGCAATGCATGACCTGCTGACTGCACTGTGAGAGCTGGTTGTTGTCCTTGGATGAATTCAGATGGACTCATCTTAACACTGAAAGTTCATCACAGTCATTCTCAAAGCACTAACCTGTTTGGAATGGCTTTTTACATGGAGGGTTTTAAATTTGTTAGGAGAGGAAGGTTTTTCTTTGGGGGAGGAGAAGAAGGTTTTATGTTTCTAAATACATATAAAATGTGATTAAAATATTTCACTATAACATACAGTCATATGGAGTATAATGTAAGTATTTGGATTTTAAAAAAGCAGAGATATTAAGATATGAACTAGCCCTCCAAAGTAGTCCAAACTTTTTAGTTCTAAACCCCTTCCCACAAACACACCTTAGAAAATAGGATATTCCTGAGAATCCTAAATTCCCAAAAGGTTTGTTTTGAACATGGAAACCACTGGGGGGAAACAAGAGGAGCGAAGCACAGAAGAAATTTGGAAGGAAAAATAATGTGGGAAAATAAAAGGCATGCTAAATCTTGTAAGAAATCAGTTACAACGCTTAAGACCTAACACTTAAGAAGCTCTCCACGTCTTCTTCAAGTGTAGATGTCTCCTGGGATGCACTTCCTTGCTTCCTTTAAGACTGGTCCTTTCACAGAGCTTCTTTGAAGTATACCCACTTCACTACTCCAGTTACTTCGACGTCCTTCTTTAACAGAAGTTGTTAAGATCAAGGTTTTCTCCAACTTGCTTCATTACAAAGGATGTGTAATGAGGTGCTTGAAGTGTTGAAGAACTTGGAAGAACTTTGCTATTAGTTGGATGAAAGAATATGAGAAAATGTTATCTTTCCAACGTAAGCTTTTCTTGTTGAGGAAGATGGAGTTCGAATCTCAAGAAAGCTTTTTGAGTTGTAGTGAGAGCAAAAAGTTATCCGGGTAGTTCTTCATGTAGTATCATATATACTTCGTATATACTAGGGTTGTTTTCCCGTTGGAGGAAGAAAACAATCTTCATTAAATGCGCGTACAGTGAAGTTGACCGGTTGGACCCGCAAGGTTGCTCTTTTGGGATAAGGTTTCCCTGGAATCTCGGTCAATCATCAGCTTTAACTCTTCAGAGCATAGAGCTCATTAAATGAGCATTAAATGCACTGTCGTGTATCAATTTCGTTGATGGAGCTCCTAGCCGTTAGGAAAGATTCCATTAAGAAACCGGCTAAGTAGGCTTGAGAAAGATAAGTATGAGGACTTATGTTGCTGTATACAGAGGGGCAGTCTCAGAGGGCCTCGAGCACTTCTGTTTAGTAAACGTTCAGCAGAGGGCCTGGAGGTCTTTTGTCAGTCGATTACTCTAGAATGCTTACACTTAGAAAAATTCTAATACATCAAATCTAATAGGGGTATACTAAGGTTCTAATAAATCTAGCATCATCAAAATCTAAATACATTTATTCCTTACACGGCACGTACAACCTGCCTCTGGGTTGGTAGAAGGGTGTTCCATACTTCCATCCGCCTTTCCTAAGAGATATACTCCGCATAAATGCCTTGGTCTGAAGCAGACCACGTCTGCTAGTTGAGGCCAAGTAATAGACAAACCTTTGGGAGCTTTGACCATGTCAAAATTGAGGGAGGAATCAAATCAAATTCACCAAGCTCTCGGATGAGCCTACGCTTCAAAAGCTAAGTACACGTTCTTTTTTAATTGGTACATTTGATAGTTAATTGTTTAAAATTGCTAGTATTCTATCACCATTATTATTAGGGAATAAAAACTCCTGAAATTAAAATAATGCCGAGCAACGCTCTAGTGATAATTAATTTCACCATCATTTTAATTAATGACTGGTTATTGTGGGCCCGTCGGCTCACTCCCGATCGACTATAATTAGCAATCGGAACGTATCTGAATGGCCTAGGTAGGATATTATCATTACCGGTTATATCACTATTATTTATTAGGGATTAAAATATCCTGAATTAAATAATGCGGAGCGAAGCTCTAGTGATAGTTAGTTCGGCCAATATTGTATTGAATATTTAATTTTTTGCGGGCCCGTTAGCCACCCTCGATCAGCTTAATTAGGCGAACCGAACGTCTCTAGAGGGCAATGCCTCGACGACGCATTTTTAGTTTGGGGGTTACGCATTAGTCCGCACGGCACCAAGTGCCCAATCGACGAATGTACCCCAGTACCTTCTGCGCTGCCAAGCACGAAGTGATTGTTGCCAAATGCGGCCTGTGGGGCCTGAGGGCGCCGAAGTGCTCAACCTCATTTTTCGAGGGCAGCATGCATAGCGGGAGATTGAGTTCCCAATCTCGCAGAACAATGCTTTTGTGTGTGACGCCCGGTAGCCCTCTAGGTGGCCCCGCCGCAGACAGCTACATCCAAGAAACCCGCACGATGAGCCGAGCCGAGGGCCACGATAACCCGTAGGCCGACAATCGTGAATGTGGAAAGAAGAAAGCCACACAGATGGCTATGGGTGTATATATATTGTCGGGCCGAGCGGCCCGTTACCATGTTAGTTATGCAATCAAAGTTGCTCAATGCGTCCGAGCAGAAGATTAAATGACGCTCGGCATGAGCTCCGAAGACGTTCCAAACTGGCTAAAGAAAAGGGCCGCGAGACGTTCATACTTCACCAAGAGGCCGAGGGCTAGGAGGAGACCATCGCGGGCAATAACCATAAGACGAACATCTCCACCCCAGAGGCCGAGGGCCAGGAAGAGACCATCGCGGGCAATAACCGTAAGACGAACATCTCCACCCCAGAGGCCGAGGGCCGAGAGGAAACCGTCACGGCTGAGAGCCGTGATACGAGCATCTCCACCCCAAGAGCCGATGGCCTAGAGGAGGCCATCACGGCCGAGGGCCGTGAGACCATCCTTACATCACGACCGACCTCACGGTACGGCGTGTTTACATTCTGAAGACCGGTCGTATCATCCCCGCACTGCGCGGATGAGAGCCGTTGCATGGATATATTTGATTGGCCCCCAAGGCCGACATCTTTACATGGCCACCGACCCCCGGGTGCGGTGCCATTATCATGTTGAAGACCGGCCTCGTCCCCGCTCCTCGCGGATGAGGGCCGTTGATTATTTCCTTCTGATCGGCCCCCAAGGCCGACATCTGTACATGGCCACCGACCCCTTAGTGTGGTGCCATTATCATGTTGAAGACTGGCCTCGTTCCCGCTCCTCGCGGATGAGGACTGTTGTTTGTTTCTTTCTGATCGGCCCCCAGGCCGACATCTTTACATGGCCACCGACCCCCTGATGCGGTGCCATTATCATGTTGAAGACCAGCCTCATTCCCGCTCCTCGCGGATGAGGACCGCTGCTTGTTTCTTTCTTATCGGCCCCCAGGCTGACATCTTTTGATAGGGTGAATTTCCTATTATGTATGTTTGTATTTTTAACTAGTTTTATTAGTTCAAGTTGTAGAAATTACACACTTTTGGTGTATTACTTTATTTTCATTAATTATTTGTAATTTACTTAGATTAAGATTATATTGAGCTTAGGACAGGTCAAAATCATCCCAAGAATCAAAGGATGGATCCTAAAGACCAAAGAATGTGCAAAAAGGAGAAGATCAAATGAAGATTTTGAAATTTGTTCAATACTCGGTCGAGTATTGCCAATACTCGGTCGAGTATTGGCCTTATACGCTGGTCAAAATCAAATCTGGGAGCAAAAGAACGTGGCTGAATATTTGATGAAAATCCTGTCGCATACTCGGTCGAGTATTGGCAATACTCGGTCGAGTATGCCTATTTTTCACAATTTCCTGGAAATTTCCTCTCATACTCGGTCCAGTATCCCCAATACTGGATCGAGTACAGAACCCTGCCACCTCCATTTTGCTATAAATACACCTCCGTTCCTTCACATTAAAATAACTCCTTCTTCCATACTCTTAAGCTCAGTTTAGAATAGTATTTGTTTTATATTTTTATAGCATGTTTAGTCTCCAAATGAGGAGCTAAACTTCCATTTCTTGGTGTTGCTCTTGAAGCTTGTTGATTATTAAAGTTGTGAGTTATTTTCTTAACTTCTTTCCTTGAATATTAATTATTCCCTTAATCTATCTCTATATTAATGTTGGGGAGTGTTGCTAAGATGACAATTAGTTAACATCTCGACATTAATTACTACTAGAAACGATCAACGAACCGATGGTTAATCGTTGATGGTTTCACAAGTAAGTAACTTCGGTTTATTAATGCACGGTCGTGGTTAATAAACTTAAGAGGGATTAATTTTGTTGGTTAAACCGAAACCGTTGTGTTGAGGTTATCAATCTCAATTGATTTCATCAAGGAGTTAAGAGATTAAATGCTACTATTAACTCGGTATATGGCGGTGTTTTATACTTGACTAATAGTAAGGGTTATTAATGAACGGTCGTTGTTAATAACTACTCTCGATGAATTGGATATACTCCTCGATTGAGTATTTGAGAGGGGATAAGTTATAGATATAACAATGATCGACTAAAATATATCAACAAGTGGAAAGTAGCAATGCCAAGTCCTTTTTATCTTTGAATTAAATCACATTTAAATTGTTCATCTTTCTGTTTAATTAAATTAAATCATTCAATCCTAAACCCCCCTTTTATTTACTAGTTCTATATAAAAAGAGAATTACTCCTTTCCCTGTGGATACGAACTCTACTACGCTATACTACGTATAAGTGTTAGTATTGAATTTATTTTGACGCTTCTCACGACAAGTGCACGTCATCTTTGCATGGCCACCGACCCCCTGGTGCGGTGCCATTATCATGTTGAAGACCGGCCTCGTTCCCGCTCCTCACGGATGAGGACCGTTGCTTGTTTCTTTCTGATCGGCCCCCCAGGCCGACATCTTTACATGACCACCGACCCCCTATTGCGGTGCCATTATCATGTTGAAGACCGGCCTCGTCCCCGCTCCTCTCGGATGAGGGCCGTTGATTATTTCCTTCTGATCGGCCCCCAAGGCTGACATCTTTACATGGCCACTGACCCCCTAGTGCGCTGCCATTATCATGTTGAAGACCAACCTCGTTCCCGCTCCTCGCGGATGAGGACCGCTGTTTGTTTCTTTCTGATCTCCCCCAGGCCGACATCTTTACATGGCCACCGACCCCCTGGTGCGGTGCCATTATCATGTTGAAGACCGGCCTCGTCCCCGCAATGCGCGGATGAGAGCCATTGCATGGATACATTTGATCGGCCCCCAAGGCCGACATCTTTACATGGCTACCGACCCCCGGGTGCGGTGCCATTATCATGTTGAAGACCAGCCTCATCCCCGCTCCTCGCGGATGAGGGCCGTTGATTATTTCCTTCTGATCGGCCCCCAAGGCCGACATCTTTACATGGCCACCGACCCCCTGGTGCGGTGCAATTATCATGTTAAAGACCAGACTCATTCCCGCTCCTCGCGGATGAGGACCGCTGCTTGTTTCTTTCTGATCGGCCCCCAGGCCGACATCTTTACATGGCCACCGACCCCCTGGTACGGTGCCACCTCCACATCTGAAGACCGGCCTCATCCCCGCTCCTCGCGGATGAGGACCGCTGCTTGTTCCTTTCTGCTCGGTCCCCAGGCCGACATATTTACATGGCCACCAACCCCCTGGTACGGTGCCACCTTCATATTTGAAGACCGGCCTCATCCCCGCTCCTCGCGGATGAGGACCGCTGCTTGTTTCTTTCAGATCGGCCCCTCAGTGCCGACATCTTTACATGGCCACCGACCCCCTGGTGCGGTGCCATTATCATATTAAAGACCGGCCTCGTCCCCGCTCCTCGCGGGTGAGGGACAGCTTGATTCTTTCAGATCGGCCTCTCATTGCCGATATCATTATATCATGACCGGCCTCTCGGCACGGCGTGCTTACCACATCTGAAGACCGGCCTCGTCCCCGCTTCTCGCGGATGAGAATCGTTGCTCGATCCTCTCTGATCGGCCCCTAGTGCCGGTATTTTTACATGGCCACCGACCCCCTGGTACGGTGCCACCATCATATTTGAAGACCGGTTTCATCCCCGCGCTGCGCGGATGAGAGCCGTTGCTCGGATGTTTTGGCCTGACTCGACACTATTGTCATCTTCTTATCAGGACCGACTACTCAGTGACATTATGATTATCTGTATATCGGCTCCCAATGCCGACTTTCTTCGGTTAGCGATCGGGCTCACCACTCCCCTCCCGGATGGTGACCATCGCCTTCGCACGACAATCAGCTATTACATCGCCTCGTCATCATATTCGGTTCGGTATCCCACCACCATCAGATTTGACATCACTTGTATTCATTCAGGGAACCGACGAACGTATTTTTCCCCACAAAAAAATGATATAGGGGGACGGGCATAGAGCCCGAGACACAGGAACCCTAGCGGGGTATACCGGCTCCGTGCTGAAATCTGTCTGAGTGCCGAAGGCATAACCGATTAGCGGGACGCGCATAAGGCCGCATATAAGGTAGTGGGGCGAAAACTTTGGGAACCCTAGCGGGGTAAACCGGCTCCGTGCTGAAATCTGTCTGAGTGCCGAAGGCAGAACCGATTAGCGGGACGCGCATAAGGCCGCAGATAAGGTAGTGGGGCGAAAACTTCGGGAACCCTAGCGGGGTAAACCAGTTCCGTGCTGAAATCTGTCTGAGTGCCGAAGGCAAGACCGATTAGCGGGACGCGTATAAGGCCGCAGATAAGGTAGTGGGGCGAAACCTTCGGGAATCCTGCTCGGATAAACCGGTCCTGTGCTGAAATCTATTGGAGTGCCGAATGCATAACCGATTAGCGGGACGTGCATAGTGTCGCAAATAAGGTAGTGGGGCGAAACTCAGAGGCCAAGTGTACGTCACCAAACGGGACGTACGTAGCACCTCGACAAAAATTAGGGGGTAGAGTGCGCCATAAGTGTTCTGGAGATCAAAACCGGGCAACCTTATTATCTCTCAGGAGATAGGGTGCGCCATAAGCGTTTTGGGGATCAGAACCGGGCAACCTTAATATTCCCAAAGGGTAGGGTGTGCCATAAGTGTTCTGGAGATCAAAACCGGGCAACCTTATTATCTCTCAGGAGATAGGGTGCGCCATAAGCGTTTTGGGGATCAGAACCGGGCAACCTTAATATTCCCAAAAGGTAGGGTGCGCCATAAGCATTCTGGAGATCAGAATAAGGCAACCTTAATTACTATTTTCCAGGAGGTAGAGTGCGCCATAAGCGTTCTGGAGATCAGAACCGGGCAACCTTAATACTTCCCAAGAGGTAGGGTGCGCCATAAGCGTTCTGGAAATCAAAACCAGGCAACCTTACAACCAGCACAACCGAGGGCCGCGAGACAACTATCATTCATCGACAGGCCAAGGGCCATGAGATGATCATCACCATTTTATACATCACGATCGGCCCCCCAGCGCCATCGTGTCTACTCCACGGTTCGGATCGCCCATCCCTTCCAGGAGGGCGACGACCGTCTTATGCTTCACGATCGGCCCCTCAGCGCCATCGTGTCCAGTTCACGGTTCGGCTCGCCCATTACCTCCAGGAGGGCGACGAACGTCTTATGCAGCACGATTGGCTCGTCAGCGCCATCGTGTCTACTTCATGTTCAGCTCGTCCATACCTTCCAGGGTGGCGACGAACGTCTTATGTAGCACGATTGGCTCGTCAGTGCCATCGTGTCTACTTCATGTTCAGCTCATCCATACCTTCCAGGGTGGCGACGAACGTCTTATGCAGCACGAACGGCCCCTCAGCGCCATCATGTCCGGTTCTTGTTCGACGTAAGACCATACCATGGCAAAGTAAGACCATACCTTGGCAAAGTAAGACCATAGCGTGGAAACGAACGTCTTATGCAGCACGCTCGGCCCCTCAGCGCCGTCGTGTCCGGTTTACCGATGACATTCACCGCGTTGTATCACATCTTACATCCCTCTCTCATACATTGCACCCATACATTACATGCATTCATACATTCATCCATCATCTCTCATACATCCATACATATATATACGTCATATCGAGCCAGTTTCCGCGTCATCGGCTTATATTGTGCAAGGACCTCTAAGCTTCTCCATTGGAAAGCTCGAGTCGGAGTCCTCTAGTCCCACCTGATATATTCAGGGGGAGAGTGTCCGGGGAAGAGCATCCCTTGCTCGACCCCGTCGGGAGGGGAGCGCCTTACCAGCAGGTTATATTCAGAGGGGCAGACACCCACTCATATATTATGATTATTCGAAGACACAGTTTCCAGCAAGACAGAGGAAGAGCGCATGTAGGAGTATATTTTCTCGAGCAGATTGGCACGCTCACTACTCAAGAAACTGGGGGACTTGTGTTGGGATATATTATCCTGACCTATTACTGTTCAGGAGCCCAAGACTTACGTAGTACGGAGCCCAATTAGTAAGGCCCATTTTAGCCTATCAGGCCCATTTCGGCACATTCGGCCCGTTAGGGTGGAGAGCCCCCTTTCCCCTTTATCTATAAATAGGAGGTTTCCCTCCATGAAAAATGATCTTTTCCCTTCTTCTCCAACTCATTTTCTTCTCTCTGGAATAGCTTGCAAGACTCCATTAATGGGAGCTCAAATTGTACTATGTAATGGTGAGAAGAGTCCTCATGAGAATGAGAGGGCTTGGACATTAACCTAAAAAGTCCCTTGGTTTTCTCCCTTTCGGGTTTCCACGTAAAAATAGTTTGTTCATACACATTTATACATATATTTAATATATCGTATTGGATTAAACTCAACAATCACATAGACCCATGTACTAAAAAAAATCATATAAACTCACCTAGTCTTAGAAAACAATCAATTAAATCCTATTACCGGAAGTTAACCTTGAGCACCCGGTTAGAAGATAATCTTTTATTTTTCTTTCTCTTTGGTCACTCCATCGTTCCCAGAGTCCACAGACCTACCTTTGTAAGTCCCACTTCTTATCTTCTTCTAATTTTTTAAGTTTTTATTTTTTTCTTCTTCTTTCATTGTAGTACCTTTTTATTTCAACACATTCATTTTTGTAAACCCTAAGAAAAATGTTTTCCAAGCCAACTTTCCCTAAGGATTACATCATCATTGAACAGAGAGGGTGACATCCACCATGACCTCTTCTTGCCTGTTCGTCTCCATTCCATTCTAGAAACAGCTCTCATCGTTTATTGCAGCTAGCATCATCCTCTAGCTCCCGGCCCATCCACCCCAGTCCTCAACCCGGAAAAAGAAGCGGCCATGAATTCCCCATCTCCAGCCTTCCATCCAGGGATACGCGACCGGCGTCACAGGATTACCGTCACAGGAGAAGTAAGAGTAGAGCTACAAATCGCCTGTGCCTCCGTCTCTTTGATTTGAAATAGCCAGGCCGGACGATAATATATGTATACCGATATGCTCCGTATATTACCCACACACATGTGTATATAGACACAAAGAGTCAAAGAGAGAGTAAAGATGAAATAATAAAATTGTTTTAGTTCTCGTAGGTTTTTGTAGCTGGAAGATGGTGATCGAGAATATGATGAGAAAGAGACAACATGAATGAAAAAAGAGAACAAAAAAAAAGAGAATAGAAAAAGTCAAACTTTTCAATTTTAACCAGCTAGAAAGGTCCATTTCCGGTGACTTTGACCACAATGATCCTTTTTATAGTAGTAGATGTGTTCAAGTGATTTTTTTATTAGTAGATGGGTTAATGTGATGTATTCATTATATATAGTACATGGGCTTATATGACTCCCTTTTCTTAATGAAAAGGAGCTTGGCATCTATGTGTTCGAAAGGTAGTTTTACATAGTATTTCATAGGTAAATGAAGAAATTAGCAAATGAAATGAATTACTCTCCCTTCCTGAATTATCTTCCAACTTCCCTTTTCCGTTAATCCCAAAATAATCTTCATTTTCTCTTTTTTGGCAAAGAATTTGTAGTTGACAACAATTCTTACACATTTTAGAACAAAGGGAGTAAACGCGAAACTTCCATCGACGTTGATTTTTTTACTCTCTTATATATATCAGTTAAAAGTGCAAAAGGATATGTACAATGATACATCATCCCAACTCCCAAGTGGAACAAAAAGTACATTGATAAATAAAACACTGCCATATGAATGATGAATCTATCTGATCTACTCAAATAATCTTATTCCAACTACATCATTCATGTGCAGTAAGTATATGACCGACCATAATCCAATAAAGAGGAAGAAATGGTAAATGGATATACAAAATGAATTGAAGTAGTCTAACAATATTATTATCCTAAATATAAATATCTATACATAAGTAAGCGTTCTTTTAACTACCGCGATTCCAGATGGATCTCCGCCTATCTCCTCAAAAATCACCAGCAGGTTGTCTGTCTGTTTTAGCCAGGACCGAGGAACATGATACCTAAAAAACAAACTCATTAGAAAGAAGGGGTGAATGGACGAAAAAGGGTTGTGTTGGAGAGTGTGATTTAATATTCTTGTTTACCATTGTTGTGTAGGCCGGCCGCACCCGGATTGGCACTTTGGGGATCGGTACGTCCCTCGATATGTGCAGACGCTGCAATTTCCAACTGCTGAGATAGTCCAATACCTACCGATGCTTTGGCCATTGATCCAAACTTCACCCTTTCCCATACTGCCCATGTCCAATGCCAATGGCTCATTTCCTTGCGGATTATTGAAATAGGACTGCAAAAAAATATTAAAAAAAGGAGCTTACTCTTTTCCATATCCACAAACCAATCATGTAAGAACTGTGCCACAGGACAAAATAGAACTGTCCCCCCTAGTTGGAGATGAATTTGTGTTAGGTGTTGTACATTAGGTGTGGAGTCGTGGAACTTTGCATGGCCGAGATGAGGTATTGGGTCATTAAGGTATGTGACCTCATGACAAATTGCATGGTTATCAAGTTCAAAGGGTGTATACCTCTATGAGATGAAAACAATTAAAATTGTAGAATCTATATGAGGTCTCTGGTTGTGATGCACGTTGAAGAGTTTGTTTCACGTACGTTAAATATGAAATAACAAACTAGCATTTAATTAGCGAATTATGCTATCAAGCTCAGCATGCCATGATCACGCTAAGACCATTGCCTCCATCTTAAAACTTCAAACATAATCCATAATATGAGGAATATTAGCCTTATATATTACGGAGTAGTTTGATTTTCATATATTTCATGAATAAAGGAATGACTTAAACAATTTCCTACTTCCCCAATGCATAAAAAAGATCAATCTGACATTGCAAATTTGCAATGTTAAAATACAAGCAGACTCTATCATTGCCTACCTTATACCAAGTCAGGGGCTGTTGCTGCACAGCTAAGGACCCTTCAACCCATCCAACAGATGAAATTCCATTTGGTGAAACTACGTTAGATGCTTCACCTCTCAAACCTACCTATATAAATCATTATAAAGATGAAGTTAAACGGACTCCCAAAGCAAAGCAAAGAAGAATGCTTATATGATTGTCACCTGATAAGACCATTTCTGCCAAGATAAGTCCCTAGGTCCATTGGGTAGTCCACGCAATACGACGGGTCCAATGATTCCTGTGTGCCGTCTTTCGTAATAGGCACCATCATTCTTCAAAGACAAATATAAAGAAAAAAAGCAATTAAACATAAATATTTCAAAGATGTAATGGATGAGTCCATGTGGCAGAATCTGCATTTCATGGGAAAGGAGCTAACCGGCAATCCAATTGCTACACTGAGGAGAGAAATTTTGTTCACTCCAGATTGCAATGCGACATTCAGTGTATATTTGAACTCTGGGTGATCTTTAGTTCCATAAGCTGACCCTGCTATTCAATCAAGACAATGTGTGTGGAGCTTCTAATTGTTTTACACTAAGGTTATTTTTGGATCCTGAAAAATGCTAGGGGGAGATTGTTAAGAAAACTCATTTTCTTCTGTTCGGTTTGGTGATTTACCGCCAAAAATGAAAAGTATTACTACGTCTTACTTTTTATATTTTTTCTTTGTTATTCTTACATCTTTTAGTCTTTATATAATGGGAATAGGTAAATACAATGAGTTCAAACAAATATATAAAAAATATTAAGCTTAAGCACATGATTTAGTTTCCCTTAGAGTTTTCTTTTCTTCCAAATTTCCCCAATTGTTTCTTGTTCCCTATCCCTAGCAACTTCCTAGGCCCAAAGAGACCCAAAATTAAGAATTTATTAGGATTTCACAATGAAAGAATGCAAATGGACCTGAGAATCGCCCGTTGACGAAGACATGCAATGCATGACCTGCTGACTGCACTGTGAGAGCTGGTTGTTGTCCTTGGATGAACTCAGATGGACTCATCTTAACACTGAAAAGTTCATCACAGTCATTCTCAAAGCACTAACCTGTTTGGAATGGCTTTTTACATGGAGGGATTTAAATTTGTTAGGAGAGGAAGGTTTTTCTTTGGGGGAGGAGAAGAAGGTTTTATGTTTCTAAATACATATAAAATGTGATTAAAATATTTCACTATAACATACAGTCATATGGAGTATAATGTAAGTATTTGGATTTTAAAAAAGCAGAGATATTAAGATATGAACTAGCCCTCCAAAGTAGTCCAAACTTTTTAGTTCTAAACCCCTTCCCACAAACACACCTTAGAAAATAGGATATTCCTGAGAATCCTAAATTCCCAAAGGGTTTGTTTTGAACATGGAAACCACTGGGGGGAAACAATAGGAGCGAAGCACAGAAGAAATTTGGAAGGAAAAATAATGTGGGAAAATAAAAGGCATGCTAAATCTTACTCTAATAAATTAATAAATTTATTTTAGATATTTGATAATTATGCAAATTATGTCCAAGTTAAAACCAAACATTAGAAAACTACTTCACTTAGCATATGTGTTCCTTTAGCTAGCAGTTTACAATGTCTAAACACACCCGAGTGGTGGCAGGAATAAAAACACTTCCATCTACCATGAGTTTCATTCCTAGCAATCTAGCATGGTTTGATCTAAATCTTACGGAGTAGTATATTATTATCATCGATCATATCATTCCAGATGAGTCTTAACTCTTAATGAAGGTGGTCCTTACCTGGTGCTGTACCAGAGATAATCACTGGTATCCCTGGTGACATTTAATTGCTCCAACAGACCACTAACAGTAAGCTTTGAATCACTATCTTCATTAAATATGTCTTCAGTAAATGTTGCCCAGGAGAGCGTTGGAATGTTTGTGGGCAGCATCTGCACCTCAGATTTCTTCACTTCCACCTATGTTGGACCAAAAAGTATATAAACAAGAGGAAAGAAATGTGTTTTTTAAAACAAAATATTAAAAAGTTAAAGAAAAACACATGAGGATTCACTTATGCTATAAGTGTTTCTTACAGATGTTTTCCCTTCTTGTAAAAAGAACTTATTCTTTTACTAACATTGCAAACGCACACTAAGACTTGTGGAAATATATATTGTTTCATAACTAACCGTGGCAGTGTTAAATATAGCATTCTTGCAATCTGGAAGAATCGAGGTTGACCAAGGTGGAAGTGTATATTGCTTCTTATTGAATGTCACAGTGGCTGATGAATTCAGATGGAAATTTGAGAGAAAAGCAGCACACTCTCCAGACGTGGAAAATACATGTGCCTGTAAATGGGAGACATTGAAAGGCTTGTTTTTGTCTAGATGATAAAATGGGAACTTTGGAGTGTCCAAGAATATATTAATACCTCTCATTCTTATAAGGCAGGACGCTTTGTATAAGACTGTTTTGTCTATGAAGTATTTGTTCTGCTTTTTTCAATTTTGCCCCAAATAAATATTGCAGTCGGGTCAATTGATTACAGAAATTATTTACTATCGAGATAATAAATGATGATAAATTGAAATATTATAATATTTTACACAACCCAAGAGGCCAAGAAAACTAATTACATTCCTTGGTTTGTGTAATACTGTAATCTGTTCAAATGAGCCTTACAAGTTACAAAATTGGGTCGGGGATAAATCTAGCATATACTTTCTCTTGTATTACCAAGGAATAGAAATTACCTCTTGGTAGCTTCCTAATTGTATGATAGTTGGATCTGCATTGACTAAAGCTTTCTCACTTAACTTAATAGCATTGTGAAAGTTCTTCAAATGGTCATACTTGGGTTGTCTAGTTAAACCTATTCCATAAATGGGAAAAAACATCAGTTAAAAATCAAAACAAGTGTTTCAAGAGATGGATTTAGACTATATTCTTACCATATTCATCTATAGGAGCATCATAGTCGTAGCTAGTAGTAAGAAAAGGACCTCCTGCTGTTCTTCCAAAATTGGTTCCTCCATGATACTTTCAAAAGAAAAGAAAACCAAACCAGATGTGCTGGCATTTCAGTAATAACATTCTATTAAGATTTTATGGCGTGTTTGGGTGCCCTAAATAACTTCGAAAGAATGTGACTGACCATGTAATAATTCACAAAGGAGCCTCCTTTTTGGATGAACCGGGCAACTGCAAAGGCCAGATCTTCAACAGGTCTATGGTGAATTGCACTTCCAAACTCTTCAAACCTTGTGAAGCATAAATTTAAGGAGAAAAATACTTGGCATATATCTGTATTAAAGATATCACAATTATGATTTTTCACTGATTAAAAATTACCAGCCACTCCATGCCTCTGTCCACAGCTTGGGTTTGTAAGCCTTGTTAGGAGAAAAATAATCGCAATAAAAACCGTTACAAGAATTTATCTGTTGTCAAATGTGAAAAACAAGAAATAGGTTTTTATTAGATCATTTAAATGGAATCACTACAAAAAAAAAACACTGTTTGCTAAAACAAATATTTTTCCCTTTTTGGGATAAGCTTCCACTTGGGTAAAAAAACACATAACAAGAGCAGCTAGTTACCTTGTTATGATACTAAACACACTCCCCATTATAACTAGGATGGTTTAAGGCAATAGATTATTATTAGCCCTGAAATTGAGAGACTAACTAATACTACGTAAGTAATAGTATAAACTATAAAGCACAGCTTACCACTGGATCTGGTGCATCATCTTCCTTGCACATAACCCACGGGACTCCAGTTTTAAGACCAACTGCCATATTTGCAGCCCAAGTCATGTATTCATGCCCGCCTGCCCCATAAGCCTTGCTTGCTAACCCATACTCATTCTCAATCTGCATCAATTTTATTAACAAAATTATACCAATCTAACCAAACAGTACCCACTATTTAACTTCCCAGAATTATTTAAGAATTCATTTTTTTATTAATCCTTTTAAAAATTCCATGTAAATTTAAGGTAGCGACAAAGTTAGCTTCACATGAGTAAAGATGGAAACTTTACCTGTGAGAGAATGATGGGGCCACCCTGTGACTGAAAAAGGTTTTCATCCTTCATCATTTGGACAATTTTCTGGACAAACCTTTGCATAGCCATCTGAATGAAAAGGTTGACTTTTAGCATATACTCCATAAGTTTTAGTGCAAAAAAGAAACACACACACACAAACATTGAGAGAGAGAGACCGTGAAAGGTTCACTATTGGATCTGAAAGTGGAGCCAGGAACAAATTTCAGCCAAACAGGGATCCCCCTGAAATAGAAAGATTTAATTAAGCACACAAAATGGAAATATTGGGAGAAAACCTTGAAATAAAATCTAAATAACTGAAAAGTTAATTGAGAAATCACCCAAACTTCCACTCTCCACAAATATAAGGACCAATTCGGAGATGCACATACATCCCTGCTTGATGTATTAGCTTTATGAATCGAACTAAATCATTTCTTCCCTCGAAATCATACTGAAACAATAACAGGAGAATTTCACACACACACACACAAACATAAAAAATTAAGCACAACAACAGCATGCAAGAAAAATCAGAAAAGAAACAGAAAAAACATAGCAGCAGTACATTGCCAGGTGAAGGTTCATGATTGTTCCAGAACACATAGGTATCAATAGCATCCAAGCCTCCATCTTTAGCTTTCTGTATGAGGCCCTCCCACATCTGCAGTATTCACATTACATATTTTTAAGGACATATATTCCCTCCAATAGCCTTACTTCACCAAAATTTCTTTGAGGGGAAAGAGATAAAGTTGTGACCTTTAATTCATACCTCAGGTGTGCTTCTTGGGTAATGAATGGACCCAGAAAGAAGAATTCTTCTCTGGCCATTGATGATGAGAGATTTATTGTCATAAGTGACGCTGCAATGAATGCTCTGAACGGTGGCAAGAACCAACACTAAGCCCAGCAAAACCCAATTTTGAGGTTTCATTTTATCTGCTTTTTTGGGAGAAAAAGAAAGAGTAGAGTCTCAAACGGTCATTTCAGGTAACTACTGACAGAATGTTTTGGGTATTCAATATGGGAATTTAAAGCTGCTTCCAACAGGCACAAATCTCATCCTGCCCGTCACTCTCACAAAAAAACTGTTTTGCTCATTCAAGGAACCGTCTTTATATACAGAGGGGATGGGGAGAAAGAGGGTATTTTAAGCATGATCAGAAAGAAGTAATCACAATCTTGTTCTAGTCATCTACTCTAATGGCGTTTTGATAGAGCTTTTCGTTTTGCGCAGTTTTGATGATACCCAGGTTTCCTCTAACTCCGCCTATTACCTAGCTTTGATTTTTACCGGCAGTAAAAAAATGAATTTCAAATTTGGGTCTTGTTTAGTACATACGGTGTTTGCGGAGTAATTTGACTTGAATATTACATGAAAGCATTGCTTAGGAGTTAGATTCCTAAAGACAATAGATTTATTCACTTTCGTAATTTGAACTGTTTTAATTCAAACTTTTGTATTTGAATATTAAAAGCATTATTCTTCCTTTTACGTCTTCTTGACGGACCAGTACTATTTTTTAATACTTCATTGTTAAATATCAATATCTTTGACTGAAATGGGTTTCCAACATGTGACATCTTCTTTAGAAGTATTACATTGATATCATCGAACCACAATGTGTTTGGTATGCAACAAAACTATTTTGTGATGTATATTTACAACAACCAAAAATCAAAATACAATATTACACATTTGACCAATTGTTTCAAAGTAAAAGTGTTTTTTTTAGTCCAAAGTAAAAGTGTTTAGACCCGAAAAAGATAAATTCGATTATTCGAAAATTGCTTCTATAGACGTTCATTAGTACGAGTGTACGATCAAGGACGACAAACATTAGACATGCAGTGATACGGTTGATACCTTATACTCCGTAGTAGTATATAAACTTTAAACATGTGTATTAATTACTCCTTCGGTCTCTAAGGATGTTTTTACTTGGACTGTAATTTGCTGGTCTGGTCTGGTCTGGTCTGATCTGGTCTTGTCTGAACTGGTCTGGTCTGGTAAAGTCTGGTTTCTTTGTATTTTTATAACTATCCAAGTCTGGTCTGGTCTGGTCTGAACTGGTCTGGTCTGGTCTGGGTTGGTCTGGTCTGGTCTGGGGCAAATTACAGTCCAAGTAAAAACATCCTAATACGTAGTAATCTTTTATCTTTCTTTTTTAGGTGTTTCAAAAATTTTCCAATATTTCTTTTTAATCAATTAATTTTTTATTATTTCTCATTTCTTTACACAAACTTCAATCATACATTATGATGAATGCATGAATTCCCAATAGGAGGGGTGGTAGTGTAAAAAATGCAGACTAATACATACTATCTTCGTCTCATTTTATGTGTCCTAGTTTGACTTGACACAATTATTAATAAAATGGTTGGAAAAGTAAAAGTTGTGATTGAGATTTAAATATAATAAAGTGAAATGGTGTTGACCACATATTTCTTTCCAAAAAGAAAAATGACGACATTTATTTTGGGATAACTCAAAAATAAAAGTAAGACATGTAAAATGGGATGAAGGGGGTATATAATAAAAAATAGGAGTATTTATATCAAATAGAAAAAATTTGGGTTGCCACTTACCCCCTTTGCATCACTGACCATATAATTGTTACTTTATTATTTTTCTGTGTCAATCAAATTTGACAAAGTTTTGAAAGACAGAGTGAGTATATATTACAGAGTATTTCACTTCTTCTTTTTAATTACAATAATTTGACTTTCACATTTACCGAGACACAATTTTGACAAGTCTTATTTCTTATCATTGTCCATTTTGCTACACAAAAACGGTCACCTTTTGCAAATTTCAACAACGAGAGACACCGGCTTATTAAGAAAAGAGAAAACTGTCAAATAGGTCCTCAAACTTTCATAAAAAGGTCAAATATGTCCTTATATAGGAGACTATGTCTGGCCGTCGTGATTTGGAGCGGTTCCCGGTGGATTTTTTTGATGAAATTTTTTGAGCATCGTATTCATCAAGTCTAGTTTACTCATACCAAATGTCAACTAAAACTTCAATCGGGAACGCATTCAAATTAATTCTTGAAGATAATTTTGCAGTTAAATGCGCAGTTATCTTCAAGAATTAATTTGAATGCGTACCACGGTTGAATTTTTAGCTAAAATTTGGTATGAATAAACTAGACTTGATGAATAAGATGCTCAAAAAATTTCATCAAAAAATTCCACCGGGAACTGCATCCGAGACATTTTTCCATTCGAGGCATTATTTTACGAATAGGAAATCAGGATGCAAATGAAACTGCGTGCATCTATATAATATATTAAAACGGAATAGTCTCCAGAGTATTTAGGCGGGAAGTGCATCGCGTATTGTGAGGCTTCTTTTGGGCAAACCACTTTACTACGTATTTGGTAGTGCAAAAGTGGATCAACCATGTTCTGTTGCAATAAATTGAACGGATCAAACAATTCATTAAGGTGCTTTAATAATTTGGCTCTTTAGTTTCCCTAGGGAAATTAATTGTGTAGTATTTGTATGTTGCAAGACTTTTGGTTTCCACCTACATGTTGCCTATATTAATGTGCACTAACCTTTTATGCAGTACTGCTGAGTCACGGTAGTGTATTAGGTGAACTTCTGCAGATGGACAACACATCGATCTCTTTCTTCCATTTTTTGCTTAATCAATTTATTTTTATTCGTTGTATTTTTATTTTTACCAAGGCTGTTTAGTTTTCACCCATTGTGTTTCTCAATAGGTGTCGTATTACTCTGCTGAGATAAGGCTGTTTATTTTTAGATTTTTATTCCTAAAAAATTCCTGTATATAATTACGGTGTCGTATATTGTACAGTAAGTGATAACACGCCAGCTGATCGATCAACCTTTGATTTCATTCCACGGACAAAAGCTTTGAGTTCTTTCTGCATTACACACACCTTCTGCGAACGGACAACGCATCTTTCTTGCCTATTCGCCTAACCAACGAGAATGATGATCGGGTAAACAAGTTGTTTCATGTAATTTTATTTAAATGGGTGTTTAGTAAACTCATGTAAAGTATAGGTCGATTCATCCGATCGATGAAGTCACAACAACTCCAGTGAAATCGAATACGAATAACACAGGGGCTAATAATACGACTGTTGGCGAAAGGTTGAAGAGAGATCGGATTTGATCGGAGACTTCTCTTCTGGCCAACGCATCATCAAAGAAGTTGAAGGCTAAAATTAAGATTGAGAAGTTGGATACGTTGATGTGTCAGGGTGGATTTTTGTTTTGTCTATCTACGGTTAGGGATAGATATTGCAACTATTGGTTTGGTTTGACATTCTGCCACTATTGTGCGTTTTGGTTTGACATTTGGCATGTTTGTGAAGCTTTGGTTAATCATCAACATTAGATCACTCTACTTCCTGTATGTTTTGCTTAATGTGTAAAGTTTTTTTTTATTATGGTTTTGTGATTGTTGTTACCATTTATTATATGGATTGAGAGCATCATCTATTTAATGTCCCTTTCCACTAGATAGTACGTAGTACTACGTATATTTTATGAAGAGGTAATGCATACAGAATCATTTTAGATGTTTTAGTTTTATGCAGGTTTTTATAATACAGACTAACTTTGAATTCTATATATGCAGGCATACAAGATGTCTCTCTGAATGTGGCTAATCAGACATATTAAAGAGTCTTAATATCATAAATGTCCTAATATAATGTTATGTAATATTGGTGTAGTTAAATTTTTGGAGAATTTTGAGTTTGTACCATACTTTTTGGGTGATATTGGACTTTGCACTCCATTTTTAAAACTTTTGGACTTTGAACCCTATCTACAACATTTTGTGAAGAAGAATTGTTGGATGGGGTGCAAAGGCAAAGGCATTTTAGAAGAAATAGGGTGCAGAGTCTAAGAGTTTTGAAAATAGGATGCAAAGTCAAATATCATCCAAAAAGCGGGGTGCAAGTTCAAAATATCCCTAAATTTGTAGATGATGTTTTTAATTTTGTACTTCAGAACTATCTTCGTAATAATAGTGGTAGTAGTAGTGCTGTTATTCGAGCCGAGCCGAGCCCGAGTATCACACATTCGAACTCGACTCGCTCAAATTTCGAGCCTGGCTCGAGCTCGGCTCGTTAAATTTCGATTCTGTATTTGAGCTCGAACTCGGCTCGTTAAAGTAATTTACAACTCGAGCTCGACTCGTTAATATACCCGAGTCAAGCTACTCGAGCTCGAGCTCGACAACTCGAACTCGAAAACCCCATGTATTAACTACAATATCATCATACTCGAAAAACCCATGACAATATGCCCACCTCACGAGCCCTATCGAGCTTCACCGGGTTTTATCGAGTCGAGCCAGCTCGGCTCGTGAACTTTATCGAGTAAACAAAAGAGTTCGAACTCGACTCGTTTTCTCTAATATACGAGCCGAGCCCGAGTTTAATCGAGCCGAGTCGAGCCGAGCTCGAGCTGAGCTCGATTTCCATAACAGCACTAGGTAGTAGTTTGTAATTTTAAAGTTGGGATCACACAGCAAGACCGAATTTTGAGTCTCTTTGCATAATAATGATTTAACAATCGCACTACTCAGAATTCTAAGGTAGTTTATTAGATGGCTTAAAAGATTGCAACTATATAAGTGACTTTTGATTTTTTTTTTCAAATATCCGAAGTCATCCTTGGTTTGGTATGATGTTTGTATGTGACCCAGATAAATTAATCAAAGTGCAAAAAATAACCATTTTTATTTGAATTGATGACAACATTTTTTATTAAACATGTCATTAAAAACATTGGTGACTGGTGAGTTGCAATGTTTTCCAACATAAACAACTTTCTAACATAAAAAAAAAAACTTGATTCTATTATAGGGTAAAAAAAGACACCCTTAAGTGACTTAAAATTCACATTATCTTTCACCGTGAATTTAGTAATATATTTTTTCATATGTATTTATAATATGGTTGGTTTTAGCTTTCATCTCATAATTCATATTACGTACTATCTCCCTTCTCTTTTAATTGCAAAATTAGATTTTTTGCACTATTCACATATTATACTATTACTATATTTTATTTATTAATGTACTATATAAATTAAATTTTTAAAAAAATAATGTTAAATTCTTCTCATTCTAAATTTTCAAAATCTAAATCTTTTAATTTTTTTACTAATAAGAAATAAAAGATATAATGACCAAATTTGTGTGTTGGGAAACATGAAATGTAGACTGTTGCAATTAAAAGGGAACAGAGGAAGTACTTAGTATTACTCCGTATTAAACTAAAACAAATGTACCCTATGCCAAATTATTATCATACCTAAAAATATATAATATGTGGTATTAAGACTCAGGGTTCCATCCTATAAGGTCAACCTCATAGGAGAAGTAGCTCAAAGCCTTATATAGTGTTTTACTCTATATTATTTTATAGTTTTCCGGTGTGGGACAAATACTTCACCCCCCCTAGCCTGCACCGGGCTGGACAATATCGGGGTGTATAAATGGGCCAACCCAACCCTTAACAAGCTATGCTTAATCATGGGTGCTAAACAAGTAATCAAACCACAACCGGAATTGGCTCTGATACCATGTTAAGACTCGGGGTTCCATCCTAAAAGGTCAACCTGATAGGAGGAATAGCCCAAAGCCTATATAGTGTTTTATTATTTTATAATTTTCCGGTGTGGGACAAATACTTCAACAGTAGGGTATAGTATTTCCCGTGCATCGCACGGGTAACATACTAGTTTTTTAAATATGCTGCGTATAAAGTATAAACTACTCCGTATAATACTCCGTATATTTAGAACACGTAACAAAGTTGGTTTATTATTTTATTTATTTATTTATATAAAAAAAGTAATAATAGTGACGACCATTGCGTACGTGAACCATCTTGGAAGCAAACTAACCGAAGGCACTGCCGGCTTGCCGCCGCAATAATGATTTGTTTATACGGGTGAAAAATGATCAGAGTTGACAATTTTTTTGGCACAATCAGAATAATTATAAGCTTTGATTCTCTGATTGGCCAATTACAGGTTGCCAATTTTTGACAGAAATTTCCCTAAGTCATAATTCTCTGATTTGCCAATTAATTTACATTTTACTACCACCAAAATACAATGTTATAGTGATACAACTGATCTACTTCCTCCGTTTTTTTTTAGTTGCAACGGTCAACATTTTACACTTGTCAACGCACATCTTTGACCGTAATTATGTTCTAATCTCTATTAGTTAAAAGTAATTAAAAATCAGATTTTGAAAATTTGTAATGAGATGAATTGAACAATATCTTTTAAAAAAAATAATTTTCATAAAATAATACCGTAAAATGTAGTCAAAGTAGAACACGTGAATAGTGTAAAATTCAACATGTTGCGATTAAAAAGAAACGGGGATAATATTTAGTAATAAAAATCATTGGGGCAGTCGATTATATATATTTAGGGCAAGTTAAAATATTTAATGGGGGCAAGTTCTTTTTATTTTACATTTACTTATGGGAAAATGGATTTGGTCATTTGGATGTCGATATTAATTAGCTTAATATAACCAAACCGGACAACACAATAAACCACTCAGATCACAAATAAATAAATCTGCATGCAAATAGTGAATTGAAGTGTGTATTAATTTGGGCTTACCTCATATATATATCCAAAATACCAAACGAGCTAGTTTGAGTTGTAGATATGAACGAACGCCCTCAATATTCCAACTAAATATATTAAACTATATAAATTGTCAAACTAGCTATATATTAGATATATAAATTAATCCAGCCTTGCTTGCGATATTGAGAGAAGATGACCGACCGGATTGGATAAACAACACGTCGCTATATATACTATCTTGATCGGATAACGCTTCTACGTATGAACTTATTATGATATAATCTTATAATCTTATATATATATAGTTGTGTGATATAAATATATACGGAGTATAAAAATGAAATAATTCTAGCTTGCTTGTCTTATTACACGTAGCTCATTATATACACACACATATGCACTTTCTAACGTAAGTCTACGAAAAGGAAAGCGTATAATAAGTGATTAATTGGAAGCATAATAATCATGGGCTCGAGGAAGTGAGTAAATGAATATAAGTTTATAACCAAAAATATCTGTACACTATCAAGAAAAGATATGCATGCCAGATAGAGGCTCGTGTATACTAGTGTACACTACAAAAAACACGCGCGTAGTCACGGATTTAGTCACGGACTGCAGTTCAAATTTTCCGTTACTAACAAAGTTAGTCACGGTCGCTAGCCGTGACTAAATCCGTGACTTAATGAGCGTGACTAAAAGCCGTCACCGCCACATAACCGTGACTACATTTAGTCACGGGTTAGTCACGGACAATAGCCGTGACCTTTTTTATTAAGACATGATTAGGCTAACTAAAACCTTCTTTAAGTCCAGCTACCAACATATAGAACTCATGTGATCTGGTATGGTCTTAATTTGAATTGGTCTGGTCCGATGTGTATTATACAATTTTAGAAGTCTAGTAGTCTAGTATGATCCTCTGGACATCCGTCTAATCTCGTCTGATTTGGTCTAGCCTGGTATGGAACTGAAACCAATCCAATTAAAAAATAAAACATCCTTAGTAATCAAGACTACTTGCGTACGTGGTTCGCTTGGTGTCGAGTAAAAAATTCTCTCCGTATCCCACTCATAATGTAAGATACTCGTGAATTTGACACGAATTTAACAAAATAAAAGATAAAATGAATATTTTACCAATCTAACAGTGAAAATTATCAGAAAAAGAAAGATGTCCATAAAAAGTAAGGAAAAATGAAAACTAATAATCCAACCTTTAAGCGGTCTTCTTACAATAATCCAACCTTTGGGTTATTCATGAATAATCCAACCTTTGCACCTCATCTCCATTCACTGGTCCATGACCGGTTGATGACCTGCTATTCCAAGCTATTTTTTTATCTTTGCAAATCATTATACCATAAATCTCATCTTTCACAAAGATAATATTTTGCAAAGATAAGAAAATAACTTGGAATAGTAAGTCATTAACCGATTAGGGACCAGTGAATGAAGATGAGGTGCAAAGATTGGATTATTCATGAATAATCAAAAGGTGGGATTATTGAAAGAAAACCGCTAAAAGGTTGGATTATTAGTTTCCATTTTCCCTAAAAAGTAATGGATCATAATTGTCATTTTTGTCACATCATTATAAGAAACAACCCTATATATAATTTCTATGTGGTACATGATTTTTTTCATTTTAGTTCTTCTCTTTTAATATACGTAGTATGAAGGAATGTCAATTTTAGTATACGAGCGCATCATTCACAATGATAAATATCATAACTCTTTCCTCAAAATAAATAAATATCATAACTCATTTTCCATCACGAATTAGTGAATAATGTACCTCAAGGCAGTGGCGGACCCACTAAGGGTCCCACGGGGTCCCGGGACCCCGTGGACTTCCAAAACAATACCTATATATATTTATATATTTGTTATATAAAATAAACTACTTATTGTATATATACACAAAAGCACTGAACTGTAACACAATGGTTGAAGTAGCGGACTGGGAGCAAGGACACGCTTGATGCACTCCGTCTTTGGAGGTCTGGGGATCGATTCCCCTGGGCATCTGCTTTTTGCAACAAGAGATTCTTAGCTACTTTTTGCAACAAGAGATTTTACTACCCATAGTATAATTGTAACAATACACAAACTTAACATATCTTTTATGTTAAAGTAAGATTAAATTATTTTGCTACTGAATAAATTTATAGAAAAGGCTGAAAAATATTTGGTGCGGCCAATTAAATATAAGTGTAAAACATTCAGACATTAAGTCTAAATAAACATTTAAACCTTTACGTAATTAATGTGCACCTTTATTCAAGAAAAATAAAGTTTATACGTAGTATTACATTTGTAAAAATAAGACAGGATTAAATTATCTTGAACTTTTACAAGAATATTTTTCAAAATTCGAGATATAGAATATTCGTGTCAAATGAAAGATCAAACAAATTATTTACTTTGATATTTTTTTTACTAAACAGAGCACACATAAAATGGTGCAATAATATTTTTAATAAAAAAAATAGTTAGCCTCATGTAATATCTTTCATTATGTACTTCAAAATATGTGCATTAATTATGGAACATCATGCTACTTTAATATTTTATTTCTTTTTTATTAATTTTTTTATTGATTAGAGTTACATTGGAGTAGGGACCCCGTGACTCTGATTTTCTGGGTCCGCCACTGCCTCAAGGTTCAACTACTATTCTTCTTATCCGATCAATATAACAATATATTTCATAATTAATTCAATCTATTCTTTTTTTAATCCCACCAACCCAGCGCAAAGGAATGAGCCTTGTCGAGTTGTCGATCATGTTGGTGATGCCATAATCACGTGCATAATATAAGAGGTAAGGGTAAGATTGGTACTCGAAGTTGCAAAAAAGGGTCAAATAAGTCCTTATATAGAAGGCTCTTCTGACTATCGCCATTTGGGGCGGTTCCCGGTGGAATTTTTTTACGAAATTTTATGAGCATCTTACTCATTAAGTCTAGTTTACTCATACCAAATTTCTGCTAAAACTTCAATCGGTAAGGCATTCAAATGAGTTCTTGAAGATAACTTTGCAGTTAAAAGCGCAGTCATTTTCAAGAATTCATTTGAATGCCTTTCCGATTGAAGTTTTAGCAAAAATTTGGTATGAGTAAACTAGACTTAATGAATACGATGCGCATAAAATTTCATCAAAAAAGTCCATCAGGAACTGCCCCAAATGGCGATAGCCGGACAGAGCCTCCTATATAAGGACTTATTTGACCCTATTTTTGAAACGTCGAGTACCAATCTGACCCTTACCTCCATAATGTAATACGGGACACAATTAAGTCAATTGTGTTAAGTGTTGGGTTTAATGTGAACCAATCAAGTTAATTATTTAATAATCAAATAACATGATTATTATTACTACAATATAATAGCACTATGAAGCGCGGTAAAGGCGTTGTTTATGAATGCAGAATTTGTAAACGATGAATGGGCCGAGGTACTTTGAATAGACTTATCAATTTGACTAGATTGTTACAACATTGACCATAAAAATCAAAGATAACTAATTAAAAAAGGATCGAGTATTAGGTTTCACACTACTGGAAAATGGATAACTAATTGTGGACACGCATTGACGGGGATGACAAGGATTATGTAAAGAATAATTGTATTTAGATTTTGATGATGCTAGACTGATTAGGATATTAGAGTACCTCTATTAAATAATTTGTGATAAAATTTTTCTAAGTGTAAGACCCCGGGACTTCTGATACACCGGTTGAACAGAAAAGCACTCTAGCTCTTTGTGGACTTGGCTACAACTCACAAGATCCACCAGAAGCCCGCACACTTAGAGACATCAACTCTAGCTACCTCAGCTGTTAAAGTAACAGGAAATACTCTGATCTAACAGCTAGGAACCTCTCAACGGAACGATTACTTTACACGCATTAAATGTTCATTTAATGAGCTTCACACGTTGAGATATTTAAATCTGATTATTGACCAAGGATCCAAGCGAATATTATTATTTAATACGCCCCAAAATAGCAAGTCGTCTACTTTTGGAACCAAGCGGTCAAATCAACAGTACATGCATTTAATGAAAAGGTTTTTTCTACACTCCAACAGGAAGGCATCTCTCAGTATATATGATACACCTTAAAGCAACTGGCCGGACCGCCGGATAACTTTTCCTCTCTCTACAAAACAATTCAAACAAGCAAATCCTCTTGAGATTAGACTTCATCTTGTTCATTCTCTACAAGAGTTTAAGCTTGACGTTGGAAAGATCATAATTAATTCATACTTCTTCATCCAACTTGAGAGAAACGTTCCTCCAGTACTTCAACACTTCGAAAGCCTCATCTACATATCTTCTTCAAAGCACGTTGGAGAAAACCTTTTTGTTGGAACATATTGTTTTGTTGATGACAAACGACTAGTGTTACTTTTGGTCTATAAGTGATTGCAGGAAAGGAATATAAGTCGTGATTTTGGAACAAGTCGTAGACCTGAACCCAGAACTCTCCTACCGTCCAAAAAGGACATATATGTTTTATTGATGACTAACCATGCAGGTGGACGAGTGGATAGACCAGCCGATAGACCAGCAGAGTTCTATCAGGAACGGAAATCAGAACTATACTTAGTTCTGTTCTGAGTGAATAATTAACGTGCATAATGATTAAATGAATTAATATGTGATTGCATAATAATGAATAGGTAACGGAACCATTCTAGTTTCTGTAATATCATTTCTCATGCATGACCTAAGCGGCACTTATGGAAAAGATATTTTAAGTGTTATTTGCAAAAATTTGAGAAGGCATGATCTTTACGTACTCTGGAAAGTTTACTCTTAAAGAGTCAAATGAATTCATATGGTAAGGATCTTTACCCTATTAAAAGGCAATTGAAAAAAGCTGCATGATCTATATTCTCGTTTTGAATTAAAAGGGAATAGTCTTAGTGGAAATATTTAAATGAATACTATTTACATAGTAAAAAGTATGAATACTTTCTATATTTACAAAGTAATGATTGCTACTTTTTCTACATAATCTGCTCCTTATTTTAATATGGCTCGTGCTTGGATATCCTTTCTATATGTATGGGCTGTTATCCATTATGAAATCATCCGGTACTCAAGTAGAAGGAAAGAATTTCAAAAATTATCAAGGAAAGAAGATCAATTAACTATGGAAGATTGCCCAACGGACCACTACAAGACTACTATAAGTGCCGAACATCAAGACAAGAAAATAGTGTGCTT